TTATGGCTAAGAGAAATGCTGGTCTCTCTCTTAATTTGATCGTCGTGATCGTAACACCAAATAAACTCTACTTTACCTACCGCATTTGAATTCCGCTTGTATTATAGTTGTTTATTATACTGGAATAATATAGACTATGTGCTGTATTGGAAATCTATTGAATGTGTTAACATTGATAGTAAATGAGCCATAGCGTTAAGCAGGTGTTGACATGTTGGTTCAGAAATTAACCGATTAGAATCGTGCAAGTGTTGTTTGTAGGTGCTGATTTTGTAGGCCATCTCAAGTAATAAGACGTCCTGTAAGATTTCATTACAAGAGTAGATAAAACGTAATTTGTCGCTAAGACGTCATTAGTAGCTCAGACGTTGTGGTTAGATAAGACGTCATGAGTAGCAAAGACGACTTGACTTGCTGAAAAGTCAAATGTAGTTAATGTGTCGTATGTAGACACAACACTTTGAATAGCAAGGTTTACTCAAAATTCCATGTTAACAAAAAATTGTATCATTATATCGAAAAATGTAACATGTAAAGATAAACTTTATTTCATGTTTTGTACGTTTTTTAGGGAAGGACTTTGTACTTTAGGCTAAAAAGACCTAATGATTTTAACAGCACAAATTAGCAAAAATAAAAATCTAAAAATGCAAAGGAATTGAAGTTGGTAGTTTAACGCGTAAATTAATTATGTCAGCCATCATTACATTGTCATTCTCAAATCCATACATAATGACAATACACTTTTTTAATCATCATCTACTTGTACGAATTTCCCTTCGTGCACAAATAAAGATGCAAATAAAGATGCATATTTAAAAATATTTTGGTTTTACCGCATCAAACTCTGAGTACACTTTTTATAATTTTAAAATCACGTCATTTTATTGTCGGTATGAGAAGTCGATTTTCCTTTAGACAATAGTTTCCTTTTTTTATAAGTTAAGTTATGAATTGAGTAGGCTAATGAAAATAAAGTAATAAAATAAAATAATATTTTGGCTAAGGCAGAAAATAAAGTAGGAGTAGACTAAATAAAAGACAATTGGTATTGTGCAAGTTTCGTATAGCAATACAGCTTTGAGTAATTTAATTATGTAAAATCATTTTAAAAAGTAGCCTATAATTTAGAATACATAATTGCCTTACTTGCTGATTTGTTAAGGAATTCGCTTCTTTTCTAAACGGTATCAGAGAAAAAATAAAGGGAAACAAATTTTTTTTTAATTTGCAGCACCAGTTTACTTTTGACGTTTTTTCGTTTTAGTAATGTAATCATTGGTTGTTGACGGTTGATAGATATTTCCAATAGTCATAGGCCTCCTTTTCTATGTCATGAGCTTCATTCACTAAAAAGAAATTTATTTTTGTTATACACAGAGGCGTATGAAAAGGGAAGGGTGGATGGGGTTCTTTTTTGTTTGTTTTCTTTTGGGGGTGGGGGGGGGGGGGGGGGGGTGGGGGGGGGGGGGGTTGACTGACCACAATGAGTGACACAATTTAGGGGGGGGGGGATGACACCAAGCACAAAGGCTAAATATTGCAAAATACAATAGAAAAATGCTTTTTCCACATGAATAAAAAAAAATAGAGCTAATTAGGCTTTTAAGTACAAATTGACAAATCTCAAGGGGGGGGGGGGGGTGACACCATGACGTAAACTTGCTAACTAAAGAGAAAACAATGAATCATCTAGCTGTGTTAATAACCGAGTATTGATAAGCATAATTAATCATTGTGCACATTTTAAAGGGGTAGCCAAAAGACACTTGCCCGAAAGCCGCTTGCCAGAAGTCCGCTTTCCCGACAAAATACACAAAATTGTATATTACCAAATAGAAATTCTTAACAATTTAAAGTTTATATCAGGATGATAGGGCTTGTAAGTAGGCCACCAACATTTCTTTCTCGTACTTGCCAACGAGTATTTTTCAAACCAAATGTCAAGATGTAGGCTTGCATAAAAAAATATAGCTAAATTGTGATTTCAAATAAGCCTACAGTTTGACCTTATTTCGTTGAATCCGAAACAAAATGTCATAAACGTAATAACAATATCAATATTTCTTACTTATAGCATTGGCATATGATTTGACTAAGGGGGCATCCATAAATGACGTCACGCTTTTTTCGGACGATTTTTACCTCCCCTCCCCTCCGTCACACATTGTCACAAAAAGCTAGACCCACCCCCTAAAATGACGTCACACCTCAGCCTACAACCCTCCTCAAAAATGCAGTTGAATTTTTCTTAAAACATCGATATTTTTCCAAAATCTCGTTTGAACTGTCAAAATAGAGTATTTTAATCAATTCCAATTGCAATTTATTAAAACAGTTTTCTAAAACGCGAAATAACGTCTAAAATTCGTTTTTTAACATTGCTTTTTTTATTAATGCAAAAGTGTGACGTCACACCATGTAAACCCCTCCTCCCCTTCGTCACACACCGTCACAAAATTACGGACCCCCCCCCCTCCCCCCCGTGAGTGTGACGTCATTTATGGACGACCCCTAAACAAAAAATTAGTATTGTTGCATTTCGGGTTTTCGTGATATTTTAAAATCTTGAAACGAGGCAAAATAACACATTTTTTTTTCGTTGTTGGTGGGAATAACTAATCTAGTTCGAAAATGTATACCACTCCCTGGCTAACGAGATTTACAATTTTAAGCAAGAGACCAAGACTTGCAAGCACTGTTAACACAATTCTTAGCAAAAACAAAAACAGGAAAACAGAACCATTATTATATATATAAACATTCTTAACAAAGTGAATAAAAATAAACCTCAATTTCATTTTTAAGTAATCGCTTCAACACGTTGTCATAAGGTACGTTGCGTAAAAATCAATCAGTAAATCAGCTTAAAGTAAATCTAACGAATGCACTTTAGTTTTATGTTGCAAGTCGCCACTGCAGCCTGTCTAAAACTTTATATAACACAGCAACACGTCGCCTATACCGTGTGTTCAAAACATAAATCAAAAGAATGTAAAACACCTTCGCCAAAATCTAATTTACGGAATTTTTCAAAGAATAAAGTTGCTTTTCTAAACAGTAATTTCTTAATTTTCAAAATTAATATCACCGCTCACAATATCATTAGTCACCACATAATCAGTCAACACATAATAAGTCACATCACCATGTAACGAGTCAAATTATCAACGATCTATCAGCACTCCACTTCTGCAGCAATGACCAATCACCTGTCATATTATCACTCACCACATCACTATTCACCACATACCACATAATAAATATACCGACATTCCTTCATTATTACCAAATCACTACATCATCAAACATCACAACACCACCCTACAGCTCACTGCTTAACAATGTACCTCCCCAGGCTTGCTGTGGGCCCCAGAGATCGACTCGGTCGACGACGCTGTCTTTACCTACGATTACGACAGCCTGACCCTCTACGACAATGACTCTTTGGTCACCTCGGAGCGGCTTGACAGCGGGTCTCAAACCACTGGACAGAAGAAACCCTTGTGTCCCAGACTGCCACCCAGTCTAGGTGAGTTGATTTTTTAATTCTCTTTTTCGTTATTCACAAATGGATACTGTGCTTGAGACAGAGACAGCATGTTGAAGTCCTGGACTCGAGTCTATATGATGTCTCTGAGACCAGTTGATATGATCTCACTTGATGGCTCGTATCCCGAAAATCTCGTATTGTCAGGGTACTTGTATGTCAAGGGACCACTGCAGTTTAAAAGAAAAATATCAGCTGCAATAAACATTGAATTATGAGACTTTTGAAAATTCTAATACGAAGACTATTATTAACGCCTGACGAGTTATAACTCCAAACTGTAAGGAAATTTTTGACACAATTAGGAGAAGGGGTGTAAATAATAGTGTTTAAATAGATTCGATCATCAAAGCAGAGTTGTGGTGTTTTTACCAGACATTATTTTCAAGGGGAAGCTGGGGATCTATTCTTTTTTTAAAAGAAATTCTATAATATCAAGTGACATAAACGTTAGGAAATGAAAAATTTGAAAATACGATCTAATAGTCATTGTATAACTATTAAGTTAGAATTTTGTAAGACCCTTCATCAAAGCAGAATACAACTTGGCAACTCTTGCATCAACTTTAATTCGTATTTTCGGTCATCATTTTCCTGATGTGTAGAGTTATTATTTTAATATATACTTTAAGACCCAGTTTCCAGATCGGAAACGGTCCATCGCCTGCACTGCACAACACAAAATAATATCCCATTATGCCCACCCCTCCCTCTAGAGTCTTTTAACTACAAATTAGTCCTTTCTCTTTTCGGACGCTTGCAGAAAGGGGGTGGGTGGGGGTAGGTTGGCTTAGCACTTTGGTGTCTACTTTATTTTTAAAAAGGGTATGCTCTACGGAGCAGCGAGTTACAATAATCGTAGATTAAATTGAATCAGGCGCCTCCTCCGGTGTCCCGGTTGGAAGCAATTTAGTTCACCCAAGAGACCGATGGCTTTAAAAAGCACCCTACAATAGGTACACAGCGAGCTCTACATTCAATGCACTCATCAGCGTCCCTGCGGTTTGTAAACGGTAGTTTTCTAGAGCGCCTTGCGACCTCCCTGATACATTGGCTGTCGCCAAGGTGTGTTCTACCTCACTATTACGCAGGGTGATTAACGTACACTGAAGTAGTTTATACAGCAAGCCCAGTGGTGTTTGGGCGGAACTGTGATCAACCCGCGCCCAACAACTTACATCCAACATTGCGCCAGAGTTGTTTACACTTAAAATAACTCAGTTTTAGAAAACAAGCTCAAGTGTCTAAAAATACACAATTAGTAACGCTTGGATGAAATCCTCTGGAATTATTCCGTCAGCCTTTTGGTGCGCTAGTACCAGATAACAAGACTATTGGGGTTGTGAGTAGATTAGAACTAGAATTATTGTCTTGTCAATCCAAAACTTTATTCTCAGTTGGGCACGTTAAACCAAACACCAGTCAAGTGACAATTGAAGCTTTGGCCGCCATGTTCCCGGAAGTGATGAAAGGTGGCAGACTCAGTCCTCCCGGATGTCAGCCTCGCCAGAAAGTCGCCTTCGTGTTTCCCTACAGGGAGAGCTGGGCTGACCTCAAAATCGTCTTGAAAAATTTGATCCCCATTCTGATTAGGCAACAAGCGGAAGTTCAGTTTTTTGTCATTGAACAGGTAAGATGTTTTGTACTGGAGAACAAAGTTTGTACACGTAATTATATTTCTACAAGAAGAATTTTTTTACATGTAGAAATGACTTTATATTTTACGGTCAAAGCCCAAAATCGGCAAAATGCGTGCGCTGGCCAATATCACCTCCCATTGACCAGCCAATGTGCTAAATTTTACTTGATACTGCACATTAGCCGGCCAGTTCGCAGACTGTTCTTGGTCAACCGGCCAAAGTCTGAAACGTCTCTTGACATCGCTCCGTTGCAGATGCAACATGATATTAATATATGGTAAAATAAAAAAATTCTGGTGCTTAAGCAAAAATATCAGATTTTTGGGAATTTAATATGGAAGGTGATGCGTAATTTAATATCTAAAGTCACAAAAGTGTGCTTGTCATTTTTTAGCTTATCTGTATGCAATGCTCTTTATTTTTTTTCTTAAATCATTTTTTAAACAAACATGCATATCTACATAGAAATTTAAATTATATTTGGACATTACGATAAACGGCTGGAGCAAAGCCTAGCCGATATGGGATAGTACTAAATAAAACAAATATGAAAATCGTTATAATGACTAGCGTAGCTCTTAAACTTTTTAACACATTTTAATCACCAATTCTTTTACCAATATATATATTAAAGGGTTAGGTCAATTGGTTTCACTCCCATATTTTTTAGTGCAATAAAGCCTTGTTTGTTTTAATCCTAATATATAAAAGACCATGTGCGCACTTCTCTCTCTCTCTCTGTCCGCAAAATATTTTCGCAGGGTATCACATCAGAATCTTTAGCGATATATGGAGAACTTGATACGGACTTTTGTTGAAAATAATATGGTACATGTTTTAAATGTATAACCAACATTTTATTTAAAGAAGAAAAATAAAAAATAAAATGCATTTTCGAATGTAGAAAAACAGTTTTAATTATGCAACAGGAAAAGTGTTTATAGTTGTGAAAAAGAACCCATGAAACAATGACGTGACTAATGTTTATACATTAACTCATGACGTCATCTGCGGAGTTTAAAATAAAAAGAAATGAACTATTTCATTCAAAATTGATTTAGATCTACATACGCTATGAAAAGTATGTATACAATACAATTTTTCCATCCTAAACTAATAAAATTTATTTTATCTATTTGGATTCTAGATCTAGAGATTCTAGATCTAGACTAGATCTAAATCTACGCAAAAACTAGACGTAGATGCTAATCAGTCGCTAAGATCTAGATTTAGACTCTATCTACTCTAGAATCTATTCCAAAAATAAATTTCTATATTAAACTATTTCAGGCTTTAACTATTTTATAGAAATTTTTGTTTTTTTAGCTATGGAACTGGCTAATTTGGGATAAAAAAATAATTAATTTGAAACAATAGGCATATTCGCGTAATTTAAAATTTCTTAATACGTCTTTCATTTACCATATTTTATAAGGTGCCTAATTAGCTGAGATGATAGTGTACTTAATACCACGCAGATGGTGGGGGATCGGGATACACCAAGTCAAACATAATTATTTTTTTTATATGTGAATCTTCCGATTTTAGACTATAAAGAAAGGAACTACTTCATTCAAATTTGAATTAGATCTAGATCTATAGATCTACTCATCAAGACGTACGTTATGAAATATATACAATTTTATCGGTCGAACTAATACAAATTACTTAAAAACAGCATAATGACCATTGAATCGCCAGATTTTTAACGGAATCATTTAAGTCACTTAATCAGTGTGTGCCTGTGATATGTTAAATCTGCGGGATTTTTAGCTAATTAGTTATTTCTTTGCTTTGTCACTAATATTGTTCAGCGTGTAGTAAAGCACATTGCGTTTTGACCAATAACTATTTCATAAATTATTTTTCTCAAACAAGTACAACATTTAAAAAAAATATATCCACCTATAATTCACGTGAAACGGGTACCGATGGCTAGTACCTGTATAAATCTCGATATTCATATTCTAAATGTCCCTTAACCGATTTTTTTTTGTACATTATTAGTTATGTAATACAGATGTAAAACAGCTTACAGATGTAGGCCTATATATGAGGATTTTCCCCGCGACTCTTGGTAAATTAAAGCTTTGAATGCGAAATTTCTTTTAAATCAAGGTAGCGTTATGGTTATTATAGTCTTTGATAGGTGAAATTGCTATTGCCGCAGAGGCGTAGCGAGGGGACTGGGGGGGGGGGTGCGGAACGCACCGGGTGGCATCATTTATTGGGTGACACGAAGGCAAAAAATATCAAAAGTATATACAGAATAAAATGGTCATTCTACTTAAATAAATGATTAATTAAAGTTAAAAAAAAACTTTTAAGATCTAAGTTGACAAATCCCGACAAGGATGGGTGGGTGGAGGGAGGGGTGACACCATGACGTAATCCTGCTACATCCAGCTGTATTAACCGACTATAGATAAACATCGTTAGTATTATCTGTGCAACGTTTAAAACTATCACCGAATGGGGGGGGGGGGGAGTTACGCCAACTAAACGTTGCAAACAGAGTTTCTTCCAGGCATCTCTTCGGGGGGGGCTTTGCCCCCCCCCCCCCCCCCCGAAATTTTTTTACCACCCCCCCCCCCCCCCGAACGAAATAACATTTATATAATTTATATAGAAAATATATAGTTTTAACAGTGTCCGCCCCCCCCCCCGGAGAAAGTTTACCGCCCCCCCCCCCCCCCCCGAAAATTTCAAGTGCCCCCCCCCCCCCCCCCCGGAGAAAAAGTCTGGAAGAAACACTGGTTGCAAAATGTGCACGAGGATAAAGGTTTTGATGAGAATTGTAATAACTTATACGTCCATCCACTCTGGGGTGGTGGGGGATTACATCAAATTTAATAATTTACTACACAAACAATGATTTTTTCCATTTAAATCAATAACTCTTAGAGTTATATACATGCTTTTTTTCTAGGATGATTAATATAATGTTTGCACGAAATTGACGCCATTTGACAAAAAGTTAGGGAGGAGGTGACACCAAATACACCGTCCACTGAAGTGGATTAGGGTGAAACCACATTGGAAATTTAAAAATATACATATCATTCGATCAAGCTAATTTTTTTTTACAAAGGCCTACGCAGAGGCGTAGCGATGGGGGGGGGGGGGGGGGCAGGGGGGGTACTTATGTCCCCGGGCGCCGACCTTAGGGGACGCCTAAATGGGTTGTAAAAACAAAATAAAATGTAATTTTAGCTGCTTTTTTGCATTATAAATAGTTTGGGGGGGGGGGGGTGCAAATCAAAAGTTTGAGGGGGGGGGGGGGGGGAGGGGGTGCAAATCGAAAGTTTGAGGGGAGGGGGTGTAAATTGAAAATTTGCTCCCAAGGGGAGCGCCAAATTGAAAGTTTGTCCCCGGGCGCCGCGAAGGGTCGCTACGCCTCTGGGCCTACGAGTGTGTAAGTGTGTGTATTTGTACGTGTGTATGTGTGTAAGTTTGTGACAGCAATAGAACAATAATTGTTTGATAGAACTTATATAATTAAGCCTTGTGTCGAGGTTCTTACTTTTCTTTGGGTTTTTTTTTTCATATGATTTGTGATATGTTTATTGGGTTATTTTTCTAATCTATTATAAGTTATTTGATATATAGCTAAGATCAATGTATATAATTTTCAAGGATTTGTGTCATTGTCATAAATATTTAATAAATTAATTGAAAACCTTTTTTTTAATACAACTATTTAAAAGTGCGTATTACAAAAAAACACTACATTTGAAATTGTAAATAAATTAAGTTAAAAAATCTTGAGAGACGAACTTGAATAATCGACAATAATCAGCGAGCAACAGATAAACAGAACTGATTAGCTAGCCACATTAGCACATTTTGACGTGTTTCGTCTGCCAAGAAGAGAGTTGCCAAACGTTATGAAATATAGTAATTCACGACTTAAAACAGTTTTATCATTAAATTTCGTATATTTTGCAATAAAATATGTTAAATTATAATACTTTCATGAAAAACGTAGAATACCCATATGGGGGAAAGAGCTTCAAGCGGATTCAAACATTGTAAAAAGGTATTTGGTCGCTATGTTACTCGTGATTCTATACATTAAAAAAATTAGGACGAAGTTCAGCCCAAACAATGCGTAGCTTCCAAACAAAAATCAAATACATCCAGAAATAAACCGGTAGTGATCTCCCCTAAACTTTCTCAAATATTCTTATATAACTTGGAATATAGACATGATTTTTTATTACTTAAACTTTTAAAAATAGATTAGAATCTCAAAGAAAAAAGAATTGCGCACCAAGCGAACACCACAAAAAAACAAAATGTGCCTAATAGTGCGCAGCATTATTAGTACTTTATAAATTTACATGCGTTTTTTTTTTTTTAGAAATCGGAAATAGAGTAAATTAGTACTTCCGGTGAACGGAAATTACTCAAAATGTGACAGAAGGTAGAGAATTATATCTTTTACTTAAAGTAATCGTGCAAAAAAAATCGCGATTTTAACAAATCTCGACGTTTTACACCTCACTGATACGGAAAACATAATTTTGCAATCTTGTCCGTATGTCTGTGTTTCTGTCTGTGTGTGTGTCTGTCTGTCTGTGTGTAAACACGAAAACTTGAGTACCGTCACAGCTAGGTTGATGAAATTTCATACATAAGTATTTTATCAAAATCGTAGATCCGTATCAACTTTTGAGCGATTTCCGATAACCGGAAGTGGTACTTTTTCTACTTTGAACTTTTCAAAAGCCTAAAACTTGAGTACTATTTCAGATAGATAAATGAAATATCACATGTAAGTAAAAGATCTAATTCTCTACCTTCTGTCAAATTTTGAGTAATTTCCGTTCACCGGAAGTATAAGAATATTCAAGAAAGTTTTGAGGAGATCACTCCCGGTTTATTTGGTAATGTGTTTGGAGTAAAAAAAAAATATACATTTCTTACAAGCTCGTGCACATTTTTAAATGTAAACATGAATTATCCATATGTTCATATGGTTTGCCAGCTTAGAAATATTTCATATACATTAAAGGTTATATGAGTAAAGTAGAATGCTTGACGATTATCCGACATGAATTGTAAAATCTCAGCAACATAAGCCATTTAAACGTAAAAAGTAATAAAATTGCCTGCCTGCCCTGTTAATACATTTTCACTGACAACATCTTTGAATCTACCACCCCACTCCTTATGTTTAACCTTAAATGATAATTTTAACTGTCTTTGTCGATTTATTTACTTAATTATTTTATCTTTAATATCCCCCCCCCTTTATAATGTTAGGCTGTAGGCTCAACATTCAACAGAGGTGCCTTGCTTAACGTCGGGTTTGTGGAAGCCTTGAAGGTTCGCGACTTTGACTGTTTCATCTTTCATAACGTCGACCTTATCCCCCTCAGTGATAAAAACCTGTACAGGTGTGGCGACAACCCCCGCCATTTCGCTCTAGCCTTCAACAAGTACTCGTATTCGTAAGTCTCATTTTTTGTAATTCATCAAGTACTCGTATTCGTAAGTCTCATGTTTTGTAATTCATCAAGTACTCGTACACAAAGTTCTCGTTGTTTCACATCGAGCACTTACGCTGGAAACATAATTGGGCCGTGTATTCCTGTCAACAAATATTTGCAAAAGTAAACATTGAATTTAAAAAGTACTCGTATTCGTGTCTTCGCTGGAGCTCAACATGTCTTTGAACATTCATGAGTGTTAAAGCTGAAACTCAACAAGTAGACGTATTTTCGTCTAAGTTTTTGTTTAAGCTCATTAAGTAGGCCTAATTGTATTTGGAAGTGACATTGTACATAAAAGAGCATTTAGTTTTAAGCTACAGAGATGGCAGAGCTTTGTCTCATGCAAAAAGGAGGTCAGTCAATCAACGCATCTATTCAAAGTACATAGCTCAAGTTATAGAAACACAAGTGCTTTGCGCCGATCTTACAATCTACTTTATTTTATGACCACAAACACTCTACTTTGAGTGGTCTTCTGACAACCCAGACAGCAGTCACTACAAAGCTTATTTTATTTCAGTATTTACTAAAAAATTTACTTTATTTCAGTATTAACTACAAAGCTTACTTTACTTCAGTATTTACAACAAGATTTATTTTACTTCAGTATTTACAACAAGACTTACTTTATTTCAGCATTTACAAGACTTACTTTATTTCAGTATTTACAAGTCATACTTTATTTCAGTATTTACAACAAAAGTTACATTATTTTAGCATTCACAACAAGACTTACTTTATTTTAGAATTTACAACAAGACTTACTTTATTTCAGTATTTACAACAAGACTTACTTTTTTTCAGTATTTACAAGACTTACTTTATTTCAGTATTTACAACAAGACTTACTTTATTTCAGTATTTACAAGACTTACTTTATTTCAGTATTTACAACAAGACTTACTTTATTTCAGTATTTACAACAAAGCTTACTTTGGTGGCGTCATCGGTTTCTCTAAGCAACAATTCCTGGACGTAAACGGCAACTCTAACGTCTACGTGGGATGGGGAGGGGAGGACGACGACTTGCTGGAGAGGTGGGTTGCAACGTAGAGTAACAAGCTTGTTTTTATTTAATGTTGACTAACACAACTGTTTCTGTAATGTTAAGTAGCAGGTTAGCTACCTTGATGTACAATAACAAATATATGTTTACAATGTTTAATGATAGTTCTAATTATTTCATAACTTTCTTTTAAAATAAACCGGGTGTGATCTCCCCTAAACTTTCTCGAATTTTCTTATATAAAACAACAGGGGATGGGAACTCGGGATATAGACATGATTTTTAATCCATTTAAAATACTTAAACTTTAAAATAGAATAAAATCTCGTAGAAAAAAAGAATTTCACACCAAGTGAGCGCCAAATTAAATGTGCATAATAGTGCGCAATATTATTTGTACTTTATAAATTTAGATTAGTTTTTTGAGAAATCGGAAACAGCGTAAATTACTACTTCCGGTTAACGGAAATTACTCAAAATTTGTAAGAAGGTAGAGAATTAGATCTTTTACTTATATGTGAAATTTCATTTATTTATCTGAAATAGTACTCAAGTTATAGGCTTTTAAAAAGTTCAAAGTAAAAAAGTACCACTTCCGGTTATCGGAAATCGCTCAAAAGTTGATACGGATCAACGATTTTGATATAATACTTATATATGAAATTTCATCAACCTAGCTGTAACGGATTAAAATGGATTAAAATTCATGTCTATATCACGGGTTCCCATCCACTGTTTTTTTATATAAGAAAATTCGAAAAAGTTTAGGGGAGAACACTCCCGGTTTATATTAATTGTATTATATCTGCTTTTTCTCAGTGGCAACATAAATTATCTGCATTTTTCTCTATGGTCACATATCTGCCTTTCTGAATGTATCGAATGCGGTACCGTTACATATAAACCATGTTGTGTGTGAAAGCATCCCTGAGAGGGGGTGCAGTTTCACCACGACTAAGCGAGAGAAACAAAAATATTCGCCAAAACATTTGTCACATTTAGGCCTACTTGTCAACATGTTACAGTGGTAATACAGCATATAATTGATTTTTTATGCTAGTTACTTTTTAATAAGCAATTTAAGAAAATACTAAGCAAGGCATTTAAAATTTCTCAAAAAGCATCCTAATTTATGTATCCATAGTACAACAAAAACAGAATATTTCATTTATAATTTAAATTTTTCTAGAAAATTTAAAAATGGTAATATTAGTATTTTCTTAAAGGTGGGTCAGATTTTTTTTAAATGTGCAACTTTTATCACAGTGCCTTTATTATAGTTCGAAGACTGGGGGTAGAGGGGCATGGCGAAGGGGGACTATATACAACTATATAAATGGCTCGTTGAGGGAGAAATAAAATGTAAGATTGATAGTGTTGTCTTTTTCTCTAAATCACCATCTATTCTTCAAATTTAACCGGAAACAAAACATGCCATTGAAAGCGGAGGGGGGGGGGGGGGTAGAGGGGGATGTGAAATTTTCGTGGGGGTTGACTAAATTCTCAAGGTAGGGGTGAAAAGTATACATTTTATTTTGTATATAAATTCTAATTTGAATTCGCTCTGGGGAGGGATGGGATGGGGGGTAAACGTTCTCCCCTAAGAGATGCCTGAAAGAAACTCTGCATGCAGACCACTTTTAAGATTAGATAAATAAATTAGGCGGTAATGTTAGTGTCTTTATTATCAAGAAACGATAACGTCATTATTGTTGTGTATTGTTTTCGGCATTGGATTTCTAATTCTGTGTTTACTCTAGAATCAATTACGTCATTTTATTGTATGTACTTTTCCTGCTTGTACATATTTCGTTTCGTTTTGAAAGTCTCTTATATGTTCCATGTGACGTCACGGTCATTCACTCTGCAACTTTTACATTTCTTTGTGTTTTCTCTAGAGCATTCCAGAAAGACAGACAGAAAGACAGACAGACAGAATGGCGAACTATTATAGTAATAATATGAACCATCCATTTACCAATTTTTAGAAAATAAAACGGCTTGCATTTAGGAACACTGTACATCTGTAACCAAAATGTGAGGACTCTTTATGGTCTAGTTATTTTTTATTTATTTTTTGCATCTTGCATCATGCACAGGCTTTTATTTCCCAGCTGTCTTAAAGCTGTGACATCATATTCTCTAAGCTAAATCATGCATTCGTGTATGTATAATAGTTTTCTTACATGAATGTTTTTTTTTTTCAATTCTTTGTTGTCAGGAAGATACTGCCCCCTTTAACTGTATACTGACTGCTATGCAATACATCAAAAAATATGCTTGCCTTATTTTCTGAATTAACATAATTTTAATACTTTTTATGCTATATTATTATATTATAATAATGTTACTAAAAAAATGTGAAAAGAGCTCATTTATTTTATTTTTATTTTTCGCCAATAACCGAAATTCGCAACAAAGCAAAAATATTAAATTGTTTATATAACAGGATTCGTTGACCTAATATTTTTTTTTGCCTTCGATTTTCTATTGTGCAGTTTAATGAAGTTTAGAAGCCTCTGTCACTGTATGACCTACTGTGTTTAATTGCACTAAGCTTCAACCCCATAATTTTTAAAACTATTCTCTTGTCACAGATAACTTAAGGAATAAATCTTGATATGCTTTGATACACCCCTAGGTTCCTCAACAAAGGCTATTACCTCAATCGTTACGGTCTCAGTATAGCCAAGTACGATGTGATCAGCCACGACCGTGATGAAGGAAATGCAAAGAACCCATACAGGTGTGTACAAGAAATATCTCAGTTAAAATATTTGTTTTTTTTTTTCAATGCTATTGTTTTGAAAATAAATGGATATTCCATCTCTTCATCTATCCCCTAATTTTTAAAAGTTTGCATTTGGGCTTGGAAGATATTCTTTTTAATCATGTTTTTGCAGAATGCAAAAACCAGTTTGA